AGGACCAGACAACTCGCTTCAGGTACGGAGGCACTCGATGATACTCGAGCGCCTCCTTAACGGTCAACCAGGGCAAGGAGTTGAAGGCGTTGACGATATCTACCACCCTAAACCTAGATGCAATTGTACCTAATCATATACGTTACGAATCGGTAAGGTATAGAAAACCATGTTCCACTCATGGTGCTTTAGTTATCTACATTATGGTGTGCCAAAAGACACGAATTAATTAATTATTTTTCACAAAAGCATTTGTTGAAATATAACAGTACGCCGTGTTAAAAGTATAAGGATTTTATTAGCAATAGGCTTAATCGGATAACACGGCAGTTATTCAATTTAAACCTTCAAAAATTTGGCGAATGTGTCGGCGTCGGTTTAAAAATAAAATATCACGACTTTTAACTTGCCTATAGAATTATTGGCAAGTTAAAAGTCGTGATATTTTATTTTTAATTATAAATTTAATAAATAATAATTTATAATAATTAATTAATTAATATTTGAATAATAATTCATTTAATTTAATACCGTTATTTGTATTTGTATTCACAAATACTTGGGTATTGATATCTATTGTTTTTCATCATCGGCGACGGATTACTGGATCACTTCGATAAATACAAATTTAATAAAGTAAAAAAAACGACAATAGGTGCCAACAACAATTTATTTATCCACACACAATATATATGTATAAGTAGTTACATACATAATACAAAAGAATTTGAAACTAGCACAGCTGCACAGCACTTTGATGTTAAAATACCGACCAAAAGATCTAATTATAACACGTTTATTTTATATTTGTTACAAACCTTATTATTTTAATCTAGTTACCACACAAATAGCCAAAAATAAGAACGTCATCATTTTTCTAAAAATCATTAAATAATGTCCAGATATAGCTTGCTTAAACTATACATAATATATAGGTGACTGTCGTATGTCGTATATTAATATATTAATTTAGTAACGCGATTGCGTTTCTGAAATATTTACGGGAAAGGTTTATGTCAGATCACACGTCTTTACCAAGTATCCTATGTTGCATCTACGCGCACAGTTTCCTTAGAACTAAAGAACGTATATATTTTGGCAAAAGTATGTACGGACAAGAGTTTTGCCAAGCTTGACACTTTGGACTTTGGTCCGTTCTTAACTCAAGCGGCATAGAGTTGGATTGCAATCTTAAACGTCAATTGTGACTCGCTCTTGACACTGTACTTGTATATAGGGTGTATATAAATTACACTCCAATACATTCAATATGGCATTCGTAGAGGCTTTAGACTTACTTTAAGAGGTAACAATAAGTTTACAGATAATGATACTGCTATAAATAACGCAACAAAACTATTTCTTAATTGAATTAAAACAATGTGATGTTTATTTTTAAGTACAAAATTTTGTATTCACAGCAGTTGTTCGAAACTAAAGCTTCTCTACGAATGTCATATTAAATATTCGTTCCCAACGCATAACGTAAAAATTTTGGATATTTCTAGTTTTATTTTTAAAAAGTTATTGATGTCATTTTACTCAATATACAACGGTACTCTCGACATCAGTGCTTCTACTATGAGTTTACCGTGACAGTTGTCGCTAACGGCCGCGTAAATTACCTACTTCATAATTTATTTTGTGTGGAAAATTACACAATTAGGTCACAAGAAACAACATTTTGTATACAAATTATTTATGCGGCCGTTTGCGGTAACTGTCACTGTACTGTAATCTCATGGTAGAGGCACAGTTTAAAGATTTTTCATACCTCTCATATTCACGGAATAATAGCTTGGGCACACTTAACAATTACATCATGTATAGAGCGACAAATTACAAATTATTGCATTTAAAACAAACTGTTATCTCGCAAATAACTTTTCTCATCGTATGATTTTACATTTGACGTTAAATTTTAATTTTAATACACAGTCACATGAATATTTAAAATTCTAACGTCTCAGTAGACGTTAATTATTTCAGTACTCAACAGCGCAACATTAACGTTGTTAGCAGCCCAAGGTTCGTTTACGCAAATAGCATCTTGATAGCATTTTTATAATTTTATCGAGTGTTTATTGATACATCACCCTCACCCAGACACCTATGTTATATAAAATTAGAAGCGAAGCGAACGGCCTCGCCCGAAGCCACACAATGGGAAGCAATGTGCTTACTAAGTGAAACCTGGATCTACAAGTATATCTAATGCAATGTATTTCTGTATACAAGTAGTGTATGTATTATTTAACGAGCCGATATAATCTGAAAAGACACCGAAATAGCTGTTTTACATTGAAGAGACTTTTTATTTATGAAAACACGACCAACAAAACCGTGATTCAAGGTACATCGAATCACGTTGCTATGACTGCTTTTCAATCTATTCTGCGATTAAGTATCTCCTAACGAGGGAACAATGTTTGGATGGGAGAAAACAATTTTTTTAAAACATTTGTCGTTTTAGTGCATATTTAGCATAGATAAGTATATTTGTTATGACATTTTAAAAAACATTTTTATAGTCAAATTAATGTTTTACTTCCTATTATAGCTTACAGCTGCTTGCGTCGAGAATACATTGGTTACTTTACTGCTATACCACAATAAACTATTTCCGTTACTACTACACCACATTAATATTTGATAGATATCACGAACTACACAGTAGATATTTATTTAATACGTAGGTACCTACAACTTTAAAATAAAATTTGATATTACGTCACATTTAACAACTATTATAACAAACAGCGATAAATCGCCATAAATATATTCTTGCTATACAACCAATACCAAAATAAACAACAATTTGTGACTATAATTAGGTAGATAAATTAAAATTAATACTGACTTTGATGTATGAATACTATAAATGTTATAATAATATCAATACTTAATACGCTAATAATTACGATGGCACAGAAAAAAGATAATCTTATTTTAATCTAACAGTAAACGATGCAATATAATACTTACAAATAAAAATCCATTATAAGTATACTTCCAAAAACAAACCACACGAGATCTGGTACTGAATTTCCCCCTATTATGTAGATTTATTTTATAAATAAACCATGAGTCTGTGTAATTAGAAGTGATACGTAGCGCCCAGTTTTACGACGAGAGAAAGATTTTACGCAGCCGCCGCGCGGCGACCGCCCAGTTACCGCGCCTTCATGTACATTAACGGCGAATCTGAATTCTATTTACTAGGCAACAACATTTAAATACCTCTGAGTAATACAATCGCGCGGTCACCACGCGGGGCCATCGCGATCGCCCGCCGCGTAGACCAAATTCAAGCCAGTCTCACCTGGGTGCCCGAAACGCTCATTTAAGTTAAAACATAAAAGCTAACTAGATCGTATTTTGCCATGAGTCATACCGCGTTTCGCTTCCATTCGGACCGCAATCGCGAAACGCACAGTCTTTGGCGCTCATATTGCACGAACATAAAAACTTTTTCTGACTGACTTCGGGTCGTATTCTAGAACTCCACTCAATGCTCAAGTCAGGATATGAGTATGGTTTAAAGCACTCGAAATCATACTCAAGGCCCTGCCATTAGGGTTGTATTTCCAGTGCTTGTGTTTCCAGTGTAATCCTGACTCTAAGGGTCGTATTCTAGAACTCTATTCAATGCTCAAGTCAGGATTGCACTGGCAACACAAGCACTGGAAATACGACCCTAATGGCAGGGACTTGAGTATGATATCAAGTGCTTTAAACCATACTCAAATCCTCACTTGAGCATTGAGTAGAGTTCTAGAATACGACCCCTAAAGCGATTCCGTATCGATAAGTGTGTGACTCCTTAACGTTATTTTTAATAGGATATGACTCTTGGGCTGTCAAAACTTTTTCTTCCCTGCTGTTATTTCGTATAGAAGAGTTTATTCCTTTATGTGTCTAAACGTAATCTTTACTTGCTTATACCTTTACTTTTTCTTTAATGGATAGAAATAATGTGAATATTTTACATTTTTATATATTAGTAATAATTTTAAAAATTTCTTACAACAATAGAAATATTTAAGAAACAGGAATGTATTTATGGAAAATATATAATATACGTATATAGAATTTATTAAGTAAGTACATAATTAATATAATTTACTTATTATTACGTCCATCGAGAACTCAAATGGCGAACTATAAAAATAATTTACCTCTTGTTCATAATATCAACATTATGTATATATTTTCAGTTACAAAATTGAAGGTATGCCCATTTAACTAATTATAATTACATTACATAGATACATCGGATAACCTTTAATTAATTCGACTTTTTAAGTCATTACGATTTTTTTTTAATAATTGGCTCACACGATGACGTAGATCATTACTATCATTATGTATCTACAAATATAATATTAAATATAAAAAGGACAAAGGTATTATCATTTTAACACTTGGCGTATAGGATATCAAGTACATTTAATTATTTAGCATTCCATTTTGTAACAACTACGATTTTCTACGACAAGACTTCTATTCTCCGTTCGTCATTAAATCCCAAAATAAATTAAATAAATAATAAACTAAATGTTTTTGTAATAAATAATATTTTATATAAAAAGCGAAAAAATAATTACTTGGTCACATGGTCACAAGTAAATAAATAACATTACCCAAATCCAGAGTTCTTATATAGAGCAAATTAAAAATACTAAGGTAACATGAAAGCGCCAAAAATATCAAATCCTTTATCTACTAAACAATTAATAATAATAAACTGTATTTTACTAGTAGTATAAATAAATAACAAGATATTAATATCACGTATTATTATGACGTGTCTTACACTAATTAAGCATGTTTTATTAGAACAATTGCTAAAAGTATCTAATAATTATTATTATTCAAAATTCCAACAAAAATAAGAGATGGCAACGACCATAAATGATTTAAAAATAGTTTGTTCAATCATAATTTTGGAGAATACACATGTATTACATGTAAATATTTTAATTGCACTTAAAATAGGATTGTACTTGAGACAGGAAAATTAAATGAGATAAAATGTAGATAATATATTACTATGCTCAGAGATTTTGCCTCTCACTGAATACAGTGCAATAGATGGATGTGTTTAATACATCTTTTATTTTCCTTTATTTAGGAAAAGAATTACAAGAGCTCTTAAGCAGTAAACGTTTAGTAAAAACTTAACTAGTAAACGGTCATTAAGGTTCTGGTGACAATCACGCAGATTATTTTGTTCATGAAGATTCTAATGGATTTCCCAAATCCATCGAATCGAATACAATTTCTACTTATTCTTTATCATAAACTCATATTTATTCTAATGAAAAAGTTAATGCAAACTATATTATCTATAACTTGAGACAGGTGATTATTCTTTTCAAAGGGTAGGTAAATAGATAGTGTTCTTCACAAAGAAAAGTACAAACAAATTGAATTCTTATACATAAAACTACCAGTCTTAAAGACATAGAAGCTACGAAGAGATAGGTACATTCGCAAATGAGAATAAAATGTTAATTTAGCGACGATGGCGAGAGCCAGAAGTGGTGGTAACGGTGGCTAAAAGTCGCCGAGGAACTAAAAGACGTGCATTGCCTCTAGCTGGCCTGACTGCACCGGGTTGCTTCAAATCCGCTAAATGGGAAGCATACCCATCTAAAGTCGTGGCCAAGCTGTTATATTTTTTACTTATACGACCAATGGCATAAATTTGTTTCGGTGACAAACCACAATTGTGATATACACTTATATCTTTTCCGGAACCGTAAGCAGCGTGAAGGGCAACGCCATGCTCAGTAATAAGATTATTCAAATGCGCTGCTTTGTGACCCAATGGATCCGTTGAGAATCCGTCAGAAAAGAACACTAGACCATGAGGAAAATTGTGTTCTGCTAACCACGATATCACTTTTCTTTGCTGCATATCCGGCCTCCCAGTTATGTAAAGGATAAGATATCCCAAATCTTGCCAAAAACGTACAACATCAACTGCACATGCCCGCACTTTTGGGTCTCTTCCTGTAACAGATACGCTGGCGGTAAAGGAACCATCAATGCTAAACACAACACATTCGGTTTGTGGAGGAACGACGGCTAGATGGAAACTGCAACTTGTGTGATCTCCTCTTACAACAGCTCTCATTGGATAAATGCCACAGCCTACGCTCTGTTTCTCAGTCAATGTGTAAGAAATTCGACCATGTTTATCCGTAACAGCAGTTGCCAACAATGTCCATTCACCTGCTGGAGGATCTTTCATCATGTACACATCCACTTTTTCACCCGTTAAAGTTATCATATCTAAAGGTCCATACATAAAACGGGCAACAAATGTTTGCGGACAGCCTTCTTTCACAACAACATCATTTGCTCTATGATTAGCAGCAACATTTTTTAACTTTACAGAAGTTCTCTTTCTCATCCATTTTTCTCTCTCTTGGCCAGGCTTGAATATTGGACATTCTTTGTCTTCCGCATGACCGTAAAGAGCTAAATCGAAATGACCGACTTGCCTCAAAATAAACGCTATAACATCTGAGCTTTCCCAATAACTAGCGTGGAATAAATGTGGTAAGGCATTTGTGGGGAAATTAGTCAAACCTTCAGGACAGTAAAGCGCATAATCGAGCCTTTTTGAGCCCCACCACTTTTGCTGTAATGCGTTCATTGTTATGAGAGGGATGTTGTCTACTAAACCGCTTACAGTACTTTGGACTGATGCTTCCGAAAGTCTCCGCAATACAGGTGTTGGTGGCATTTGCAGTTGATCTCCAAATAACTGGGGGTGGCTTTGAATTAACTCCATCAAATGATAAGGTTGTCCATTACCCAACGGATACTTGGCATATCTAGCAACATTTATTGGTGGCAAATTTGTAAACCTAGCTGATAACAGAGGCTCTAATCTAGAAGCGACAGGGTCGGTGGGGTGGAATAAATTGTAAACCTGTTGAACAGGTGGTTTAGGAATATCGCGACATTTTTCGTCTGACATTTTTCTTGAAGCTAAAATTAGAGACAAAGGACTGCCAAAAGTAAAGAAATCACTAACTTCAAATTCAAATTTGACGTGGTTTTCACTGGTGGAAGACGATCGTCTGCGGGGCGTTGGTGCTTGTAAATGCGATTTGTTTAAATAATGTTCCGTTGGGTCATTAGGAATAGTGATTTCTGTGTCGAGAATACTATTTTCACTGTCATGACGTGATTGATACTGAGAAGTGCGACACAAAGAATCGTAAGCCAGAACTGAACCGATACTATCCCCCACGAAGCAGACTTGGCCATTAAATCCTTTTCCATCTTCCGTTTTCAAAAATTCATTAAAGACTGCATTTGCCGAATGTATGGTTTTTGTCACAGAGTCAACATAATCAGGAAATGAAGTGGATAAAAGAGGAATCGCACCTATCGGTATAATATCATTGGTAAGAGATGGATTTTCTGCTGTAGATGGTGAACAATCGAAACTATAAGGGCTGAGTGTAGAAAGCACTCCAAGAGCTTCTGTGCAAATAGATGGACATGAAACTAATTTTATTGCAATATGTCCGACGAGTGTTGGATAATGTTGACGCATTACTGATTCAAAGGCGCCTTTAAACGTTGTAACATCCGATTTTTTTGCAGTCATATCCACATTGGCATCTAAGACACTTCCGGCATGGAACACAAGGATTAACACAGTTGTTGGACAAGAACTATGAACTGGTGTTTCAGGACAACCATCTATACTTTGATGGCTTTGTAGACTACCTATTCTTCGCGACCCTCTCTCAGATGTAACCCTCTTCAAGAAGGATGGATTAAATATACTGTCCTCTTGATTCTGTTCACCTTGCGTAGGAGATATGTCAATGTCTGCTTCATCAAGAGAACACATTGAAGACCACTTATTCAATGAAGATTCACAATCATAAAACTCATCTTCAGACCCTGTTTCAGTTTCAGACTCTCTAACAAGAGTTTCCATTCGCCAATTCGCCATTTGTTGTTGTAAACTTTTAATAGAACCTGAGGAAGATGATCTTAAATTTGATTTAGATGAACTTTTATGTTCAGATGGTGGTGTGCCTTCAGGAGTTAAATGTTTTTGGATTCTTTTTTCAGCATTGTTTTTCTTTGCACTAATGGGTGTTGGTACATCTTCATTCTTCTCTAAACTGATCATTGTTGCAGCAAGTGACTTGGAATTTTCTTCAGACAAGTCCTGTTCATCACTTGTATCTCCAGCCATTTTTTTCTGCAGTGCCAGTTGAGTTTGTCTTTCAATTTCTCTTATATCTTCCATGGTTAAGCCATACCACTCATCTTGCCACGCCCAGGCTTGCCTGTGAGCTCTCAACATTGTTTTTCTAAGAGCAACGTCATGAATGAACTTTTCTAACTTTGTTTGCATACCCCAGTACCTGAACTCTACTCTACAAAGTTTATAGGCGCACATTAGAGATTTCCCATTAGGTAAAGGTTGTGGTTTCCCTTGAACTTCTCGCCAATATTCCTCTAACCAATTGTCAGAGAGTGGTCCTCTGTTACATTTTTGGGAAACAAATAGTTTTGGATCTTCTTCTTTAAAATAGTCGGCACCGTACAGTTGATCCTTGACAACATCAATTACATCGACTACTCTATTTTTCAAATCACTGCCAGTCAGCTTGAAAACATTTTCTTGGTGACCATTATCACCATAATAATATGTTTCTATTTCTAAGGAAAATTTCTCAACAAATGGGCAAGTGTACCTTGTTTTTGTGTATGGGTATGCATTCCAGGCTTCTTCAGATACTGTTAGGGCAGATTTTGGAAGCAAACTTTTAAACCAACCTGGCAGGTGACTACCAACATGGTATATTTTTTGAGTGTACTGACCTTTACCTCCAGGCCCATCTTCATATGGCTCGTTGACTAGAATTTCAACGCCACTGCCTTCACCTGAGCTCTCTTGTCTACTCTTCTTGGCTATCATGTACAACTGCGCAATGCGATACTCCTCCACTGTAAGTGGCAGAGGGATCCTATACTCTTTGATCAGCATACTGCTTGTTAATTATTCCTTCTACACATCACGCATAAATTGAAATCTGGAACAAATTTAATATAAAAATCAATTAAGTACACAAATGAATATCCATTTAATATAAAACCATTTATTTAGTTATATACATTGACACCAGCAATTAACACTACACTAACTTAAAAATTGCAAATTCATAGCTGGGAAATGTGTGTTACCGTTCAAATTTTCAAACATATATTAATGATTTATTTACTACAAGTTATTCATCATAGATTATAAAAAGATAATTATTAGTTTTGTATTTTTTAATCTAATTTAAATTGGCTTGATATTTGAGCATTAAAAAAGTAAAATCGAGAAAATTCGAGTTAGCGCAGTGATATACTACAATTTTTCTAGGATGATCCCTGTGATACTTCTCAAAATTCTACATAATATAACCTTGTAACGATGTCCACTAATATACGTATTTTATAAACTATTGTTATACGTCTTGCTTGTAAGTAAATAAATTTTATTTAAGCAAATACATAAAATAAAAATAAAAGTAATACCAAATTAGTGAAAAATGAGCAGAGAACCATTTTTTATTTCAATAATGATTTTATCTTTATGACATACAAAGGTTACTTCATTAGACAGCATTTGCTAGAGATAAGGCATAAGTTTTCGATGATTTAATGAATAAATATATAGTGCATACACAAGTTTAATCTATTAGGTAATTAGTGCTTAATATAGATTAATGTTTTTAATCTACATTATGAGTCTCTTTATTAAAATATCAATTAAAATGGCATTTGAATTGAAATGGGTGTTTTATGCCTTCAATGCAATACAAAACACTTTATACAATCTATACAACAGGCAGGAGGGGTCCATTATTTTGTTTCTCGCAGTCAATATAATCACACAGACGACACACTACAAGTTACCACACTTGACTGTTGACGACAATGTTTTTGAGTCTTTCCAGCAAGGCTAAACAACATCCAAATTAAACAAAACAAAGTAATAAGAAATAAAAACAATAACAAAAACAAATAATTTTAACAGAAAACACAGCAGGAAACAATAAAAAATTCATGGCACATACAAAGTGTCAGCACTCAACTCAACTTCATCTTTTGTGTCTATGGCTCCGTCGTTTTGTGCGACGATTTTGCCAATGTCAGGGTTGAAAGACTTGTGGAGCGGTGGTGAGATAAATTGCCGGTTATTAAAATATTTCGGCGGTTTTTATTCACAATGACGGTTATATATATATATACATATTTTAATGACATTACAAAAATATAATTTGAGAGCTCATGTTATTTTCTTTCTTTTAGAAACATTGTAGGAAGTTTTATTTAGCGGGAAATAAAAAATAAAATCATTTAGTAAAACAAAGTTAGGCATCGTTTTCATGTCAGCACTCGTAATAAATTAAATTGACACATATGTACACATATCGAGTTCTTAGGTTTTCGCGATTGTTATACATAGGAATGAAACTATTTTTCCGGATTTAAATCGCGTATATTTGACTTGAGTCAACCGTGACCATGGGACCTGTAAAGGGCCCGAAACGTCGGTTTGTTTGAAAAAACAAATATACGCGATTTAAATCCGGAAAAATAGTTTCATTCCTACATATGTACACATGTCAAGATAAACATGAAAAGTTTTTATTCTTGAACAATTTCATAGATTTTAGGACACTATAATTGGTTGTATATGCAATCATTTTTGTTTACCTACCGCTGGCGATGGTTATTGAATCATAAACAAAAACTCAATTTACATTTATTTCTTCTCCAGTACTTACTCCACAGAAATACCAGATCGGATTTCTAAAATACAATAAATGTTATTTGTACACAATTCATGGGAATTAATTATTTTAAAAACTAACATTTTTTTAAACTGTAATATTTTACAAAGCTGTATAAGTGAGAACCTTTGTGTGAAAAATCAATTAAACCAAAAATCTATCAAGTTTACCTCATCCCTATGACAAAGTGTCCCAGGGATTATCTTAGAAAATTTGTAATAGTATAATTGTTGGTGTCAACATGTTACAACGGAAAACTGTTGTTTCACAATGGTTATTCAAATTACCTATGAATGAATGGTTTCTAGTGCAACTTTAGAGGTATCTACAGCCATACGAAACTAATGACAGCATTTGTGAACAATACATTATGATCCTACCAAGATGTGTGTTATTCCTTTAGGAGTCAACTATGAATTTTTTTTTATAATATCAAGTGACGGAACGAACAAGTTGTGCGCCTGATGGTAAGCTACATGCCTGTCCATAACAGTTGCAGTGCCACTCGGAGCTTTAAATCGCAAAGATCTGAGGGGCACTGCCACTGCTCCCTTCACTTTGACACATAAGTTGACAAGTCCCATGTGCCTGTAATATCACCAGCACCCTACCCTTCAAAACTGGAACACAGTAATGCTGACATTACTGTTTGGCGGCAGAAATAAGTAAGGTGGCAGTACTTTCCTGGACGAACTCTTTCACAAAGAGCTCTACTGCTACTAATTGACTCCATAAACGTAGATTTAAAGAAGGAATAAGGAAATAAACTATTCTTTCAAAATATAGGTACTAAATTTGTTTATTTTCCTGTTCAGAAAGCTATTACTTTCGCATTAAGGTTTAAAGACGTCATGGAAAATAATTGAGATATTGGAATGAAACACTTACCTTTGAAGTTCCATTTTTTAAGAGAAGCACAATGTTTTCATTCAGAGAAATGACTTTTAACTAAAATCTTTTTCTTTCACCAACACTAAAACCACCAATGAACTTTGACATTTTACGAGCTTCGATGTCAAAATGGCCTAAGCGCCATTCCTTTTTACGTTGTGTAGTATTAATATCATGTTTATGCATTTATATGAAAGAAATCAATTAAACTGCACGTAACACAGCATCACTGATTATTTTTTACATACAAACAAATGTAGCAAGTAGTACACGAGTGCGAGTCACGAAAATAAATAAAAATACAACATACAACCGAGGTTGAGAGTATGCGCGATCGTGGATTGGAACGCTGTTGATTCTGCGTAGGTAAGCTAGGGGCAAATTCATAGTCGGTTCCAACAATATTTACACATACTAACTTTCGAAATTCTCAGTTGAAACTTGTATTAATCACGTCATTTGTAAAGAGTTCAAATACTAGATATGAGTTAAATAGGTCGGAAAGGGGTGTTTCAAATCTATAGATACATGTATAGATATAGCTACAAGGAGTGACATAAAGTTGTTAAAAGCACCAAATATTAGGAGGAAATTAAACTATTTTTCCGGATTTAAATCATATATAATTGTTTTTTCAAACAAACCACGGTTTCGGGCCCTTTACAGGTCCCATGGTTTGTTTGAAAAAACAAATATAGGTACGCGATTTAAATCTGGAAAAATAGTATCATTTTCTGTATGTAACAATCGCGAAAACCTAAGAACTCGACACCAAATTAATTACTTACTTTTTTCGGATTTCGGATTTCCGGAAATGGTTTTAATGCATCGTAGGACGAAACTTCTGACCTGGAGGTCTAATGGTGCCATGTGAAAAAAAATGCAGTAGATAACCGACCTTTTACCAAAGCAGAGAATGAAAGAATAATGTGAAGGTCATTTTCCACCCCTCCCTAGCTTTAGATACCGCACCGCGCCCCGCATATTGGCTATCACATTGAAGGAACGGCAACAAGGCCGTCAGTGAGCCATTTGCTAAAGACAACACGTTGATGTTTAAAAAACTGTATATATTTATTTATTACGAACATCATGATCATCCACTGCCCGACTTCACCCACTGCTGGGTATAAACTACGAGGTAGTTTGTGCCATCCACCACGGTCCTGTGCTAATTTCACCCATCATGCCCGCAACTTTGACAATGTCGTCCACCCATCTCGCTACAAGACGTCGCACGTTTCTATATCCATTTCTGGGCCACCATTCGGTTATCGCCTTACTCCACCTGTGTTCACCACGTCTCGTAACATGTCCCGCCCAACTCTATTTTAAACTCGTTATCCGATCTCCTATGTCCTGGACCTTAGTTCGTCTACGGATTTCGGAACTCGATCTATAAGTTTGATGCCGAGCATGACTCTTTGTGCTATTCTCATTCAGTACACAGCCTTCTGTGTGAGCGTCCACGTCTCAGCACCGTAAGTCATAATGGGCAAGACACATTGGTTAAATAAGCGGGTCTTCAAACACTGTGGAGAATCAACTGATCATTTTACTGATGCTCTTTATCAAAGGATTGAATATGCCCAAGGTAAACTTACTGGTTAACTGTCTCCAGCTTCTCATTTCCTATTATAACAGTAGGATTTATGATGCTGGAGACATTGCCATAACTTTCGTCTTGGATATATTCATCAATAGGCCCACGCTCTAAGAGGTATCAAAAAGTTCATTTAAAATTACGAACGTATGTAACTATTATTATGATGGTCGTGAATATTTATCTTGATCTTGATAAATAGAATAAAGAAAGAAGTTATAGAGCCCCTAACGGCAATACAATTTACTGCTTGGGAAAAAAAACCTGTAAGTGCTAAATTTTCTCATACATCCTATAGATACGGCTCGCTCGAAGATGGACATTGGAAAATCGATAACAGTCGGCGGTGAGTTAAAGCGCCGCCGCCACCGCCCCGTGATATTTACAAATTGATTCAGTTTAATGATAACTATGTATTGCTAGCCCATTTATTTAGACGATCGAGGTAAGCCGTCCTACTGTCGAATATGTAGGTAGGTACAGGTACCAACTCAGATTAGAAAAAGCAGATGGAGCCCGCCGAACTCGAAAGTGAAGCCACCAAAGCAAATACAAATCCAAAAGCCAATACAAATTCGTAAAACATTGCAAAGTACTTTGTAGTCAGTAGTAGAGACGGGTCATGGATAAATATTTTTAATCGTGGTTTATTATTTGTATTTAGTAAAACAAAGTATGTTTTTAAGCTTAAAAACTTAGAATAATAAC